CGCGCCCCCCCCCCCCTTCCCTGTATTATGGAGGTAGTTTACCCTCAGCCTGACTCCGGCTCGTCGCGCGTGGTCATGGAGCGCGAAGCCTGGAGCCAGGGTGGCGGCGGTGGACACGTCGTACCCATGGGTGACTCCAGAGGCGCTCTGCTTGCGAGAATTGGCTGTGTCGTCGAACGCTCGTAGCGAGATAGTAAATGCTGGGAACGTCACTCAATTCAGGGAACTTGGACGTCCTCCGAGCCCTGTCTCCCCGGCCCTTTTCCCTCGCGCGAGGGGTCGGGTAAGGAGCGCCCTCGTCAATTTGGTGGGGTTTAGGCCACCATGCTCGCGCGCTTGGACGGCGTCGCGGTCTGTTGTCGCCCCCCGTCACAGGACCACTCATGATGATGGCGCTTCGGTACTACTCTCAGTGAGTTCGAGGGACGTAGCAAGGTCCCCACCTTCTTTCTTTTACGCCTCCGGCGCCTTCGGCGCCGTTCCGGCGCCTTCGGCCGTTTTTTTCTTTCCCCCCCCTCTCTTTTTTTGGTCTCAGCATGAAAAAAGTGCCTCTTTTGCTAACGCGTCTTTTGTCCGTCGAATAAAATTTTATATAGTCTATTATAGATGGCCTTCCAGGTCGTATAAATATCTCAGCTTGGCCACCATCGCGATGCAATGTCGCATTAAATCGCGACTGGTGCAGGTGAATTTGGAGCTCGATGATAAACGGGAAGCAGCATATCTTCTAAAAGACGCAATCGAGAAGGAAACGTCGGCACATTGGCGGGAAGTTGGAGGCTTTCACGAACATAGTAGCACGCGCATGAAGGAAGCAGTACAAGCACAGCACATTGTGCTTTCAAAAAGTCTTGGCGAAGTTGATGTACGAAGGCCTCGTCTCAAAAATATCGCGATGACATACTGACCTCAGCCAACTAGGTTCTTTTGCGTACCAAAAAGCAGCTTGCCATAGAATGCAAAAAGCTCACCATGCAAGCAAAGGTGGGGTGTGAATCCTTCTACCTAGATTTCTGATTCCGATGCCAGGCCAAGGAGAATGAGTCACGTCATGCGTTAGATAGTGTGGGGCGTGATCGGCGTGTGGAAGCAAAAGAAGCGAAGATTGGGTACATTGCGGTGCCCTAGCAGAAAA